GGCGGTCTTTTTTTTTTTTTTTTTTTAGAAAAACCCCAGCAGGAACTCATTAGCATAATAGGCCACACCTAAGAGCTGAAACTTGTTAGCATATTGGTCCACACCCCTGACAGCACAGCTCATTAGCATATTAGGCCACACCTCCATGCCTTCCCTTGGCTTGCCCGGGCACCCTGCAGCCCGCCCACCTTGGAGTCGCCGGGGGGTCGCTCTCCACGCCTTCCCTCCACGCAGAGGTTTTGGCTGTAGTGGACGTGGCCAACTCTGAAGCCAGCCGGAACTCCGTTCCTGTGTTTTCCTGCCCAAAAATAGCCCTGCTGTAAGTATACCACGGGGACTTCCTCTCCTTGTAAAGGCTGATAGAACAGTAACAGGCAAAATGTGTGTTGTAGGAAGTTGCCATTCCATCCTTGTTTGCACAACTGCAGTATGAAATTGCGCCTCACCTCTATATGTCACTATAGAATATTATTTAGTCTGTCCATTGAGAATTTGGCTGGTAAAATCTTCTAGCAGGATTACTCAATATTTTATACTTGTCTTTTACATGGTAAGAAACTTCATTACATATTAAATAAGCTGGCCTTATTTTTGGTCCATTATTCCACTCTGGATGCCTGTAGTGCTGAAGAGAGAATGGTATTTCTTTGTACACGTTTGTCTCTCTACTGGCAGTCATTGGAATTTAGTCTTCTCTAAAGTGTTGCTAATGGGCCACAGCTGCAGAAGGAAATTACTCTGAATTGCTGTTTATTTACTGAAGACATGTTAATGGAAATCTGTGAGTGTGCATTAATGTTAAGTGACTCGTTTTTGTATGGCTTCAGCTTCATTTTCTATTCCCTATGGAATGGATAATGGCAGAGGGAAAGGCTGGATATTCTAACCCCAAGCAGTAGAAAAGGTAATACCAAGTCTTTGAATGTCCAATTCGTCTCTTGGACTTCAATCTCGCATGGTGTTTGCTTGCAAAAGCTATTTAAAGGGAACGTTCCCTTTAAATGGCTTTTACAAGATTCCCCCCTTTTTTTGGCCTCAGGAGCCGGCACCAGCAGAAAGGAGGGAGGGAAGATTCCCCCCCCCTTCCATTCTCCTAGCTTTGGTTCATTAAATGGGGAGGGCTGTGAAGATTCATGGTTCGTGTGACCTCACAAACCGTGAACCAGGACAAACCTCCATTTTCCCACTTTGTGC